TTTAATTTCTTTATTTATATTTAAGATATTATTATTTATCACATATTTATGTTTATGTGATTATCTCCTCTTACATTTGATATATTGTCATAGTTGCAATCCGGTTCCAACAACTACAATTGCCCCTTTTTTTTGGCTTTGCAAAACAAACTAAAATTTAAAGTAAGTGTACCAAAAACCCTATTTGGGACTCAGTTTGAGACCACCTTCTTTATTGAATGGGAAAATCACCCTAAAATATTTAAGAAGTGATGAAATTCCACCTAGGCAATGGATTTAGAGTCTTTACAACTCTTTTATCATTCCCCTAGTCTAGACTTCAGTCACTTTACAAAGTCCAGACGATGGTTTTTAGTCAAAATAAAGAGTGGGACAAAATGTAGTGTCTACAACCACCAAAGTAATGGGAGAGAGTTTACACGTTTTGATCGACTAATCCTACTCTTTGTATCTTCTTAGTATTTATGCATAGATCTTGAACCGTGTACAAGAATTCATCAACATTATAATACCTACTGATGAGGGACTAGGGTTTCACGTAGATAAAGACTCATGCATATTGAGTTGCTAGCAATGAAAATGAAGAGATGAGTCCATGCAGATAAACGTCAACAGAAGACCAACCCAAAATAAGACTGGTTAAAAAAATTGAGCCCAAGCCCAAGCCCAAGCCCAACCTAGCATTTAAAAACCAAGCCGATGCTCGTCCTCAATATGGCCTGGGCTCTGATTCAGAGCCCAATAATGTAACACGGTTGGATGTTCTCTCTCCCTTTTCAACTACTGACCCTCTTTCTCTTCTTGTAAATTTAAATATCAATTCCATAGAACAATCCTCCAAAACCCTTGACATAGCTCCCAAAATTCTTCTACCCATCTGACTATCTTCTGATTTTTCTTTGACCCTTTTCTTGCTCTTGCCAAGATTAGTGACTGTTATATTCTTGGATTTAGGGAAAGGAATCAATCACAGAGATTCATCATTAGAGATTGTAAAGGTATGGTGAGAAAAGAATGGAGGGGCATAACCAACGTGTCAGCGACTTAACGGTATTGGCCTCTTATTTCTCAAAGGGAGGTCAGTGATTCAAGTCTCAGAAAAGACATATGTGTAAGAGTACCAACTAGAAAAAATAAAAATAAAAAATAATGAAAGGACACAGATAAAAAGATAATATTGGAAACAACAAGAAGTAGTATACAATTCTTTTATTGAATTCAATCCTTTTGAATTAAACAAAGTTGCTTTTTTTATTATTTTAATGTATTAGCATTGTTTGGTAAATCAGTTGTTTATTTGTGTGACAAAGACTTAGATGTATATATGATTGAGCTCAATTATTAGATGTTAATTGCTGTAATGAGTATACCAGAGAAATAATATAAATCTACCAATGAAATCCTTACCACACTATGAATTTAGATGCTAATAATTGATCTTCAACCCAATTTAGGTAGAGTTGTCAAAGTGTCTGTAGCCCAATGGTATCTACCCTATTTTCAAAGTGAAAGGTTGAGAGGTGAGATCGAGTTTCTTGCCGGACTAAAAAAATAAAAAATAGAATAAACAATAGTACATGGTTTTATAAAAAATGTGGTCACAATAAATTAAACATATCAAAGAGGTTTTTTTTTTAAAAAAAAATTAATCTTAATTCATATAAACCCTAAACCCTAAACCCTAAACCCTAAAACAATTTCTTGTACAAGTTTTTTTTTATGTGCTTCATCAGTTGATTTGTTGTCTGACTTCTGACCTAGTGTAAAATCAGAATTGGTTGATTATTTAGATCTTGTTCCTAGTGAAATGAATCGGTTGTTTCTGCAACAATTTGTCTCCAATATAATGCATCAAAGTTGTCTCCTGATGAGTGTTCCTTGAAACCTTATGGAAGGATATATATGTGATACGGAGAATCAATATGTTTCAATTCGCGTATTATCTTTATTTTATATGATCTTCATCTATCATATATTTATATACATTACACGTTGAAATAAATAAACCGTGATTTTTTCAATTATATGAGTATATTTTCAACTTATTTGGATTCTATTAGTGTTTGACAAAGGTTTAGGTCAAGGTTGAGGTTGAGTCTATCGGACTAGACGTGTAAAATAACTTACAGAAAGTTGATGTATAAGTCATTTTTGTTAGGTTTTAATAAAATATTTTACTTCGTAAATATTTAACCTAAATTTTTGACAACCCAACACTAAAAAATATATTTCCTAAAAAATATTTTACATCCAAACAAACGAGCCTACATAGAACTTAATCAGTTGCATTACAAGAACCATCAACTCATTCAAAGATGGTATGGCAGCCAGAGAACTAGCAGCTAAATGGCATCTACGAAACTCAACCTTAAAGGTCACCAAGAAAACCTCCTAACCATCATCATCATTACTCTGGGAACCAATTCCTGCTCAATTCTCTATTTTTCTTCTGTTATTTGTTTTAGGCCACAAAGCATGGACCCTCTCCCTGAGAGACTTGTTTGTACATTCAAATTATTAATATTACCGACTTACCTTGTTAAAAGGCCAAAAAAAAAAAAAAAAAAAAAAATCATGATGCATCAAGTAGTCCCTGGAGTGTTTGTATCTAATTGATGAGAAGACATAATTGTCCGTGATTGTTAAATTCTGGAATTTAGGGAAAGGAATCAATCATAAAGACTGTGATCGTCAACCTCGTGGTAGAGATTGTAAAGGTATGGTGAGGAAAGAATGGCAGAGATAAAGAGATACTGGAGACTTAAAAGACAAATGGAAGGGCATACATTAAAAATATATATATAAAAAAAAAAATGAAGAAAGATAATGGGGACTATGACACAGATATATATACTAGTCTATTAATTATGAATTCAATCCACTGCTTATTCAATTCAACAAAGATATTGTTGATTATTGTTTAGGAATGGTAGTTTTGATTATTTTAATGTATTAGCACTGTTTGTTAATTTTTGTGTATCTTATATGGATTGTATTAAATTTATAGTTTGGAGAATGCCATAGAAACTTTTTTCAAAAATGCATAGGTAAAATGAAGGCAAAATCTGGTTTAAGAAGTGTGCTTAATCAAGTGACTTTGCACTACTTTGGGCTTTTAAGAGCTCTTGGTGGGAATTCATTATATTTGATTGTATTAATACTCCCTTTTCTGCATTAAAAAGTGAGGAAGTTTTTGGAGCTGAGTCATATGTAGACACAGTTGCATAAGACACAAATTTTAACCACCAAATAACTGCAATCAAGGAGATCGAATGTTGTCTGAAACTGTCGTGTCTTGCTCTCTTTGCGGGTCATACAGCCACAAGCTACTCATCTTAACAAATATATATTTTATTTCGGTTGGTATCATCCTCTCTAATATTTTATCTTTATCTTTCTTAATCATTATTTGTGTACATATCTTTTTGATATATTAATAACTCCAATTCTACATTAATTATTTGTTTACACATCCTTGTGATATATTAATCACTCCGGCCAATTATACATTGTCTTTTTACAAGTTTTCCATGTCAACGATTTTGGAGCCTTTCGTTTGAAACAGTTCACAAGGGACAGCAATCCAAGACAGAATATGAGATGGTATATTTCCCTCCACATTAGATACAAAGGATCAACAGTGTAGTGACAAGGAAAATCCTTAGGACAATCCTTAGCTTGTTCGCTTCTTGATAAGTGTATCCTCTTTCTTTCTCTTCTTCCTCCACTGGGGGCGGAGTCAGGATCTTGAAGTTGGGGGGTCAAAATTATAAGCAACACTACTTAGCTAGAACTTTTAGAGAAAAATATATATATATATTACGTAGTCAAAAAAATTTTACTATTTATTATATTTATACAAAAATATATCTATCTAAATTTTTTATTAAAAAAAAAAAATAGACATGCACCCACACAAAAATACTTATATACATACAAAATTTATACTAGAGGAACAAAAAAAAAACTTTGAGATTAACCTGACTGGTGTGCATAAAAATTATCTACATCCAATGAAAAAAAGTGATTCCTTAGGTCAAATAAGGTTATGAAAAGAATCGTGATTGAGTTGGAATTTTAGGATAATAAGGTTATGGAAATAATCGTGATTGAATTGGAGGGATTTTAAGATAGAACATTATGGAAAGAATTCTGTTTGAGTTAAAATTTTAAGATAGTCACATTAAATTTTTATATAAGTCATTGTTTATATCACTCAGTATCTTTTAAATGCTAATTAAAGAAAAAAAAATTTTTTATTTTTTCTTAAGAGGGCCAAGTATAGATTTTATACCATATATGCTATATTATTTTTATTTTTATCTATACTAACAAATAAATTCCAAAAAATTAGGGGGGGCCATGGCCACCCCCAACCCCACCTTGGCTCCGCCCCAGTCCTCCACCATCTATTTTCTCAAGAAAATGGCACAGAGCAACGAAAATGTTGTAGTCATATATATAATACGCTTCTTGGCCTTGGCCCTCCAATTACAGCAAAGCGGTTACAACTTACAACGTACTTAGCCTTCATCTGGTCGGTGGTCTATTTGATATTTTGTTTTTAGGATATATCGACCAATATCTACAATTATTTCAATTGTGAAAATGTTAAGGTTTTTCATTGTTTAGACTTTACCATTATAATTACTACGTATTATTATTTTATTTTTTGGGGGCCAACTTTACATTATATGTTTATATAATAAAGTTGAAGTGGCAGCTCAAAATTTTATTTCGACTTGCAAGTCCAAATTCAACCTGAACAAAGATGATCGAGCTAGATTCGGATTGATTAATTTAAGTTATAGTTCAGCTTTCTGTTCCACCAACTCCAGTATCCTATATAAGATCAGAATACCGAATTTTCTCACTTATCTTTCATTTATATCATTGTCTGACACTGAAAGGGCTAATATTAGATGCATTTGGACAACCCTTTTTGATAAGTGTACCTCATTTCTCTCTCTTCTTCCTCCAGCATCCACTTTCTCAAGAAAATGGCAGAGAGAAAAGAAAATGTTGTATTGTTCCCTTTCATGGCACAAGGCCACATAATACCCTTCTTAGCCTTAGCCCTCAAAATAGAGCAAAGAGGTTACAACATAACCTTCATCAGCACCCCTCTCAACATCAAGAAACTCCGATCCTCTCTTCCTCCAAACTCCTCCATTCGCCTCCTTGAAATTCCTTTCAACAGCTCCGACCACGGCCTCCCACCAAACGCCGAAAACACGGATGTCCTTCCCTACAACCTGATGCACACTTTTGTCGAAGCCACTCTCTCTCTCAAACCCTCTTTAAGAAAACTCCTCCATGATCTCATCCACGAGCAAGATGGTGTTCCACCGCTATGCATCATGGTGGACTTAATCTTTGCATGGTCTGCTGATATTGCGCATGAGTTCGGAGTTTTTCATGCAATCTATAACGGCTTAACAGCGTTTGGAACGGCCTGTTACTACTCCATCTGGCTCAACTTACCTCACCGCCACACGAATTCACACGAGTTCTCCTTACCGGATTTTCCTGAAGCCGGTAAACTTCACGTGTCTCAGCTATCAGAACACATGCCAGAAGCAGATGGTCCTGATCCTGTCTCGGTTTTTCAACATAAAAACCTTCCCTTATGGCTGAATTCTGATGCAATTGTATTTAACACAATTGAAGAGCTTGAAATGAAAGGATTGACCTATTTCAGACGCAAAATAGGCCGTCCGGTTTATTCAGTCGGACCATTACTTTTACCCGGAGAGAACCGCGGTAAAGAAGCTGAAATCACACCAGATCAGTGTATCAAATGGCTTGATACAAAACCACCAACTTCTGTTCTCTACGTGTCATTTGGTTCACAGAACACAATATCAGCTTCACAGATGATCAACTTGGCAAAAGCATTGGAAGCTAGTGAAAAAAATTTCATATGGGTTGTTAGGCCTCCGTTCGGATTTGATATTAATGGAGAGTTTGAAGCAGAAAAATGGTTGCCAGAAGGGTTTGTGCAGCGCGTCGAGGAACAAAAGAGAGGGCTGATTGTTGCGAGATGGGCACCTCAGGTGGAAATTTTGTCCCACAAGTCTGTTGCTGCATTCTTAACTCAGTGTGGATGGAGCTCGGCCTTGGAAGCGCTGAACCATGGCGTGCCGTTGATGGGTTGGCCAATGGCTACCGAGCAATTCTACAATGCCAAGTTTTTGGTAGAAGAGGTTGGAGTTTGTGTGGAGGTGGCTAGAGGAACTAGGTATGAGATTAAGCATGAAGATATAGTGGAGAAGATAGAGTTGGTGATGGGTGAGGAAGAGAAAGGGAAGGAAATAAGGAGGAAAGCTTGTGAATTTAAGAAGATGATGAAAGATTCCATTAGAGATGAGGAGGGTTTCAAGGGATCTTCTGTGAAAGGTATGGATGAGTTTTTTAATGCTGCACTGTTGATGAAGGAGAACACTAAGAAAAATCACGTTAATTAGGTTTTATTTAAGTGAAGTAAGAAAAATCACATTAATTAGGTTTTATTTAAGTGAAGAAGTGTTTGGATGATTGAATAATTTATGTTGGTGTTTTAGAGATGAATTAAGAAGCACATATGTTTGTGTTTTAGATATTAATTAAGAAGCATATTGGCCTGGTTTCAGGTCTTATCTGTATAATAAAACTGCTTCCCCAACCTGGGTGTTAGAAATTAATTTTTAGATAATGCGTTTTTATTTAATATTTCTTTGTAGTTGTGTTTGGTTGGTTTTTAATATTGAGAATTGAGTTTCTATTGGGAGAAAGTTTTTGGAAAAGCTTAAGCGGTTAGAGATGGTGTAACTTTAATATTTAAATTCTTGAAGCTCTCTCATGTTTGGCCTTCTTTGTGGCCTTCTTTTGGTCCATCACATGTTTTTTCAATTTTTTAATTAGGGTGATAGTGAAGTTTGAGCTCGAGACCGTTGGCTCTGATACCATGTTAACAACCATCTACTTCAAAAGCTTAAACTGTTAGGGAGGATGTAACTTTAATATTTAAATCCTTCAACAGATTGAGTAAAACTTCTGAATCCACATGTAAATTCTTGATCTTCTTTTATGCCGGGTAATAAAGAGAATATTGAAAATCCAATTGAACATTATTACTTCTTACTGTATAATTCAATAGATCTAGTTCCATGGTAGTTTCAATGTATGAGGTTGAATTTTAGATGAAGTTCTATGTCTTATATATCATGTTGACAAATTAGTTTCAAACTATCACTCCTGATAAGTGATTTTTTTTTTTTTTTTTGAAAGGTACTCTTGATGAGTGCTGGTATCTCTTTAAGGGTAGCCTTAAAACCTTACGCAAGGATAGATAAGTGACACAGAGAATCAACACATTTCATGTGTTCTCTTTATTTTACATGATCTTTATCTGTCATAGTTTTTATATTTACACAGTGAAATAGATAAACCATGCAAGCTACTCATCTTTGCTAATATTTTATTTTTATCTATCTTAGTCATTATTTGTTTATTAATCCTTTTGATTAATCACTCCAATAATACATTGGCTTTTTACAATTTTCCATGTCAAGGATTTTGGAACCTTTTGTTTGAAGTAGTTCACAGGGGACAGCAATCCAAGTCAGTCTATGAGATGGTATAGTTCTCTCCACATTAGATACATCTGAAATGTGTCAACCAACCTCATAATGGTTGCTTTGCAAAAGATGCAAACGACCAATTGTGTAGTTGACACTGGAAAGGGCTATTTTTATATGCCTTTGATTGTTCACTTGTGATAAGCGTACCCTCTTTGTTTCTCTTCTTCCTCCACTGTCCATTTTCTCAATAATATGGCGCAGAGAAGAGAAAACGTAGTATTGTTTTATAATTAAGGTTGAGTATGGATTAAAAAATCTCAACCTTAATTAGGGTTGGTTTAGGTGAGGCGTCAGAGCCCAACCTAAACCCCAATTTATTTTATTTTATTTTATTTATTTATTATTATTATAAATATACTATATATATTTAAATTATTGTCGGGTTGGACTAGTCAAGTGATCTATTTGTTATTTTGTCATAGGAACAATTATTTCAATTGTAAAAAAGTTAAAAGTTATTCATCTTTTGGCCTCTACAGTAATTTTTTTTTTTTAATTTACATCGGTTAACTTTATAATGTATACAATCCGAAATTTTAGCATGAGGTATAAGTCTGAATTCAATCTAAGCTAAAAATATTTTAAAAAGAATTGGGCTCAGATTGGTTAATTTGGATTGAAGATCAAGTTAGACTTAAATTGGAGTTAGACATTTCATACATGGAGTTGAACTCAAATGGTAACTCCAGCCCGCCCAACTTGGTGGTGTTGGCCCCCGTGTTGATGTCCCAAAAACTCCAATTGCTGGTATAAACAGATCTAATACAAGGCCCATTGCACGATATACCGAATTTTCTCACCTACCATTCTCTTGATGGTACCACCACTTTCATTGATTTCATTATTTTACACTGAAAGGGCCATATCAGGTACAGTAGGATAACCCTTATTGATAAGTGTACCCTATTCCTTTCTCTTCTTCCTCCAACTTCCACTTTCTCAAGAAAATGTTTGAGAGAAAAGAAAATGTTGTATTATTTCCATTCATGGCACAAGGCCACATAAGACCCTTCTTAGCCTTAGCCCTCCAAATAGAGAAAAGAGGATACAACATAACCTTCATCAACACCCCTCTCAACATCAAGAAACTCCGATCCTCTCTTCCTCCAAACTCCTCCATTCGCCTCCTTGAAATTCCTTTCAACAGCTCAGACCACGGCCTCCCACCAAACGCCGAAAACACGGATGTCCTTCCCTACAACCTGATTCATACTTTTATCGAAGCCACTCTCTCTCTCAAACCTTGTTTAAGAAAACTCCTCCATGATCTCATCCACGAGCAAGGTGGTGTTCCACCGCTATGCATCATGGTGGACTTGATCTTTGCATGGTCAGCTGATATTGCGCATGAGCTCGGGGTTTTTCATGCAATCTATAATGGCTTATCAGCGTTTGGGATGGCCTGTTACTACTCCATCTGGCTCAACTTACCTCACCGCCACACGAATTCACACGAGTTCTCCTTACCGGATTTTCCTGAAGCCGGTAAACTCCACGTTTCTCAGCTGTCGGAACACATGCCAGAGGCAGATGGTACTGATCCTGTCTCGGTTTTTCAACATAGAAACCTTCCCTCGTGGCTGAATTCTGATGCAATTGTGTTTAACACAATTGAAGAGCTTGAAATGAAAGGATTGACCTATTTCAGACGCAAAATAGGCCGTCCGGTTTATTCAGTCGGACCATTACTTTTACCGGGAGATAACCGCGGTAAAGAAGCTGAAATCACACCAGATCAGTGTATCAAATGGCTTGATACAAAACCACCAACTTCTGCTCTCTACGTCTCGTTTGGTTCGCAGAACACAATATCTGCTTCGCAGATGATGAACTTGGCGAAAGCATTAGAAGCTAGTGAAAAAAATTTCATATGGGTTGTTAGGCCTCCGTTCGGATTTGATATTAACGCGGAGTTTGAAGCAGAAAAATGGTTGCCAGAAGGGTTTGTGCGGCGCGTCGTTGAGGATCGAAAGAGCGGGCTCATTGTTGCGAAATGGGCACCTCAGGTGGAGATTTTGTCCCACAAGTCTGTTGCTGCATTCTTAACTCATTGTGGATGGTGCTCGGTGGTGGAAGCGCTGAACCATGGCGTGCCGTTGATGGGTTGGCCAATGGCTGCTGAGCAGTTCTACAATGCCAAGTTTTTGGTGGAAGAGGTTGGAGTTTGTGTGGAGGTGGCTAGAGGGACTAGGTCTGAGATTAAGCATGAAGATGTAGTGGAAAAGATAGAGTTGGTGATGAGTGAGGGAGAGAAAGGGAAGGAAATAAGGAGGAAAGCTTGTGAAATTAAGGAGAGGATGAAAGATGCCATTAGAGATGAGGAGGGTTTCAAGGGCTCTTCCGTGAAAGGTATGGATGAGTTTTTTAATGCTGCATTGTTGATGAAGGAGAAAAGTACCAAGTCAGATCTCATTAATTAGATTTTATTTAAGTGAAAAAGTGTTTGGATGACTGAATAATTTATATATATATATATTGGTGTTTCAGATCTTATCTTTATGTTTGGTTGGTTTTTAATAAAGACTGGGGAGTAGAGAGAACACAAGTTTGAGAAAATATTGAGAATACAACTGAATATTTTTACCTTTTACTGTATAATTGGATAGTAGATATAATCCCATGGTAGTTTCAATGTATGAGGTTGAATTTTAGCTGAAAGTTCTGTATCCTATATATCAATAATATCATGTTGAAAAACTTAATTTGCATCTATCACTCTCATTCTCTCCTCTCTCTCCCCCTATATATATATATATCTTTTCATTGCCATGACCATTTGGTCTGAAAGTTGGAGTCAAATTGCAGCTGACTAGTAAGTGGTACAGTGGTACTCCTGAAATAAGTTAAGTGGATGCCTGGTGGGGAGAGAGGGTAGAGACAATGGCATTATATGTGGTACCCATTAAATTATTGGGGGCATGTTGGGAGAAGAAGGATATCGTGGGCCCACTTATATTTTGTTCTGGCCCTTTTTTTATTTTTTTATTTTTTTTTATCACCATTTAAAAAGAATAAAATCTTTATCTTCTTTGTTTATCTTAGTCTTGAAGTCAATTGATTTTGGATACGGTTCATCAAGTTTATTTCTTAGTTTTGTTTAGTATTTTGTCATGTTCACGTGTCTGTATAGTCAATCTAAAAAAACAGCTGATGTTGCACTAATTTATGTGCCACGAAGCATGATAAAATGAAAGAAACTTGTGAAGATGTACAGCCAAAACTCTAATTTTATATATTTTATAAATTCTTGTACTCTAAATCAAATGTGTATCTAGACATAGACTAAAAAAATTCTAAATTATATTACCAATATTATGCTTGCTAGCCATTATTTTAGTGTTGCACCAATTTAAATTGAAATAATTACAAAAGAAGTCAGTTTTTATTCTATTGGACCATCAGTCGAAGAAACTTATAAACTATCTACTGGGCTTGTGTTCCTCATGCGCATCAGTCCATTAGCAACACAACATGACATGTTCTCATTTTGAACCAAAGAATATCCTAAACAATGATATTTCATTTGATTTCAATTCCCAAATCCCAAGCCGACATCTCAATGTGCATTGGTGAAATCGAAATGGTTTCAAACCAAATATGATCATCATTCTTGGTGAAAATAAATAAGGGTAAAGTACAACTAGGGATGTCAATTTTTACCGTCTCGTCGGGCCCCGTCTCATCCCGCCCCATTAATAACAGAGATGGGAACACTTTTTATACCGTTGGGGCAAGTATGGATACAAATTTTGTACCCGATGCGGGTCACGAGGTGGGTAAGGGTTCAGTATACATATCCTAGGGGTCCCGTCCCGCCCCGCCCCGCTAAGCATATAACTATATTTAATATATATATAATATTAATAACTTGTTTTAGCGGCTTACCTAGTTACCCATTTCTTACAATCCTAATTTGGGATGTAAACTTGGTATTAAATTTGCTTTTGTTTTGGTTATGGTGGAAGTTGGAATTTAGAACTTCTTGTGATTTGGTTGTATTAAACTTTTATTTTTGTCTATTATGTTATCTGAATTATGTTATGTGCGTGTTATTTTTTTTTTATTTTTGTTGGGATATATAATTTCATTTATGTTGTGTCATTCCCAAACTTTCCACATTTAAATAACATGAGCTTAAGTTCCAAAAAGTGGGAGAAAAAAATTTATTAGCAGGACGGGCACGGGGGCACAGTATTTCCCAACGGGGCGGGGCTGGACATGAAAATCCAACCTGTCGCGGGTCTCAGGGCGGACATGTGATGAGCGCTGAAAAGTGCGTATTTAAACCCATTTTCACATTTTATCTATCTTATTTTACCGTTTTGTATTGATTTCGTATTATCTCCATTTTCAGGTACTTATCCCCAAAATAAGCTAACTCGGCCAAATAAGAGCATAATTGAAGTAATTCTGGGATGAATCAAAGAAATGAGCAAAATGAAGCAAAGGGTGGAATTTCAGCAATTTCGATCGTTCTCAAGAAAAGTTCAATCGATCCAACTTTCATCGATCTCAGCACTTCAAGATGGATCTGAGCCATGTTTGTCCCTGTTCAAAGATCTCAAAAGTTCGATCGATCCAACTTCCTTCTCTGATCGATCGAATATTCTTGTCATTATCCAAATGATTGATCTTATCCAGTTGTACCACCCTACCAACCACTTTTGTCCTTTTCCCAAAAATATCTTCAAAATATCTCAGATTTATTTTTATCCAAAAAGGCGACGCCATTGAAGATTGATCCAGCCTAAGTTCGATAGATCTCAGCCATGTTCGATCTATCCAAGTCTAAGGTTCGATCGATCGAACTTCTTCCAATGCGAAAAAGTTAAATTTTCAGCTCACAAAAGTTGTCCTCTATCCAATCATTGGGAAATATTTGCTGCACGACCACAGCTCATTTTTGGGTGTCATTTGACCTACCTATATAAGGATAATGATTACTTTTTGTATCATATGATAGAGATCACATATTGTATCACATCATATCATTTCATACCTTGTAGAACTCTTAAAGAGGAAGAAAAGAATATGAGGAGGCTAGAGACACCATTGGAGACTCTTCATCAACCAAGGAGCAGATTTCTTCCATGGAGCTTGCCCTTGAGGGTTGGAGGACATCATCCATGAGTGGCTAGACATCCTCTTAGGGCTAAAGTTAGCCCTAAGCATGCTTTCTACTTCTTGATTTATATACTTTTGAAGGGATTTGTATTGTAATTCATATCTTAACACTTTTATATATATATATATATATATATATATATATATATATATCTTGTTTATTCAATAATTTATATGGTTTAATGCTTCCAATTGATCATTTCATTCTATCCATATGTCTATGTATGCTAGAATAGATGTTCATGTGTTTGTCTCTATTTCTTGTGTTATTGATGCATGTCTATGTGTGTTGATGCTATAGATATAGAGATTGTCAAGACATAGTGTTTAATGTCATGTTCTTGTGGTTTATTTGATAGTTCATACTCATTTCTTGATGCATTGTACCTCTCCCTTAGTTTAATTAGTTTAATTTCATGCCATTAGCTTAGTTGTAGTGTAGTTGTTAAATGGAAGGACAATCCATGCTTGTTGTTAATGTTCCATACTTATGAAAAGCAAGTAACATGTATCTCTAACCTTGTGATGTGTTTGGATTGTGAGCTTAAAGAAATGATTAATGGCTTAATTTGATATGTTATGCTATCCACCATGTTGTTTAGACAATATATGTTTAATTTGTCATCCATGCTTGCTGAAACAACCACACATACACACTTTGTTGCAATACAGGTTCTCCCCTTATTAATCATTCATTAAAGGTGTAAAAAAGCTATGCTTAGTGGTGATCTCTAAACCCCAAAATCTCTCTCTCTCTCTCTCTCTCTCTCTCTTATTCTCTCTATTGCATTATTGCTTACTTTAGTTCAATTTGCATCTAGTATAATTCAACCAACGAACCACTATTTTGATCACTCGACCTACTAACCCTAATTTTGATTCATCAACCTAGTACGACACTCAATCCTTTGGGACGATCCCTACTCACCATAGCTATATTTTTAGTGAAATGTAGTAGTGGCAATTTATAAATGTAAAACTTGGCCACATTTCCACATAAACTTCTCGGGGTGCAACCTACGAGAGACACACCAAGTTTTTGGCACCGTTACCGGGGATTGATTAATTGGCAACGTCGTATTTGTGGAATCAATTAGGAATTAGTACTCTTTTGATCGTGTCTTTACTTTATTTTCAATTTTTGTTACTTATTGTGTTTGTTCTTGATTGACAAGAAGCATTGAGTTAGGAAGCAAGCAAAGGATATTCCAAGAAAAGAGCTAAGTAAGCAAAGGAAAAATGCTAAAAATCTAAAAAATTGCTAAGCTAAGCTAAAAATTTGGAGTTAAAGTGCTGAAGGACCTTTGTGAGCTTTTCTTACTCAAACTCTTAGTTAAATCGTCGACCCGCGTGGAGGCTTGTATTTCAATTCTTAGATAAATCGTGAGCCCACGTAGAGGCAATTTACTTTTCTTGCATTTTGTTTAAGCATGGGAGTATAAGAACATTGTATGTGGAGAAAAGTTGTTGATTGTTGATTTGTTGTGAAGGTGAAGTGTTTATGTCATTGCTTGTTGTGTTGCATTGTGCATGCATGGTCGTAGATCATTGAGACCCACTCTTGTCCCTTTAAGTTTTCATCTTGAATTCATTGTTCGAAACTCTAGGAGAAGAGGTAGTTCTAGTCAATCCATTGCATCAATGGAAAGACACAATGAGGACCATGTAGAGGAACTTGGTCACATAAACCAACAAGGTATCCTCCACCCCAATGTGCATCATGATAACCTGCAAGTTCCATTAGGCATGCCAAGGCCATATGTTCATCCACCACAACAACAAGGCCAAGTTCCATTAGGAATGCCAAGGCCAATCTATGCTCTGCCACCTCCCATCATTCAAGGCAACCAAGGTGCCCATGTTGCACCTCCAATTGCTAATCCTCCCCTTGTTTTAAGAGATCACTATGTGCTTAATGAATATAATGCTCTCACATGTATTCAGTTGCTACCATTTAGAGCATACCACTATGAAATAAAGCCACAAACCATTCAAATGCTTCTTAATTATCACGGACTTCCAAGTGAAGAACCTTACAAGCATTTGAATGAGTTTCTTGAAGTTTGTTCCACCGTAAAATAAACGGACATGCCAGAAGAGGTCTTAAGGTTTAAACTTTTTCCATTCACCCTTAAAGATAAGGCAAAATATTGGTTTAACAATCTTAAGCCTTTTTCAATAACTTCTTGGGTGGAAATGCAATAAGAGTTCTTGAAGAAATACTATCCGGTTTCTAAGACCAATGCCATGAGAACCTCAATTCGAGAATTTTCGCATGGGGATGGAGAAACATTTCATGAGGCATGGGAACGCTTTAATGAATTGCTTAGGAAGTGTCCATATCATGACATGCCCAAATGGCAATTAGTTCAATATTTCTTTGAGAGCTTATCGGACAATTACAAAGGCATGGTTGATGTTTCTATGGTGGCTCTTACATTGATAGGCTTAAGGATGACGTATGGCGTCTTTATGAGAGCATGAGTGAAAATTCTTTGCATCGTACTTTATCTTCAAAGAATGGTAGAAATTCTAGTAGTAGAAAGAGTGTTGGCTTGCATCAAGTCGACCACTCCAATGAAATTACCGCC